AAAGGACAGTACAGTCATACCCAAGCTTAAAGTCAATTTAGTAATTTTGCCATTTATAACGGACTTTAATAAATTTTTACAAGTCATAATATGTCGGATGACACACCTATTGTCTCAGGTGCAAATTTTAGATTTGGCAATTTGTTATTCATACTTTACTTGTATATTTATATGTTTATAACTCATACTTATATTTGAATTTTGATTGTGTTTTCTTACTGTCATTTATTATATATTGTAATAAATGACCTTTTCTATTCTTTAAAGGGTGTTTCTAATGTTTTTATTATATGAAGGCAGACAGGTATAAATATGGTAAAATTTCCTGGCGTCATCATGCATTGATAAAAAAAATTAAGTAAAGTATGGTCACTAGATAGATAGTTTAGATTTATCATCCTCAGAAACTCACAGGACAAAAAAAGCCCTAAGTGGCTCTTGCTCCTTTAATTATTTTTTTTATTGTTTCCTTTCAATAAGTTTTAAAAATTAACTGGGTTATTGGGATATACTTTTTAGCAGAGAAATTAATTCATGTTTTGTATGTATAATAATTTATCTAAAAGTTTATTGAAGATTATGGTTATAAATTGTTGGCAAGCTGTGTAAGATGCATTCTTTTTTCAGAAATTTAAGGTGAATGATTCACCGAAAAACGTGTACCTAAAAAATTATATAACTTGATTCTGCGAATCATATCACATTTTTTCTGCAAAATGTGTTTCTAACATTTGTTGCACATATATCAGATGCATAATGTTTTGCAGTCATACCCTAGATCATTTTATAATAAACTGGGTTCAATGACAATCTGGGTAATAAATATTTTAAAACGTAGAAAAAGAAAAACGAAATAAGAAACATAAATGATGTATAATCATGATTAAAATAAAGTATTGCACATACGGTAAAAAAAACTACAACACTTTGAAAATTTCTCTCGATTTATCATTTATTTATTATATTTTCGAATAAATAAACATTTTAAGCTATCCTTTTTAAAATATATAAAGTTGACAGTAGATGTAAGATTGAAAACCTGCAATTATTTTAGAACTTAAGGAAGTACAAAATGAATAGGCAAATTTTCCCTCAAATTCAATGCATTTGATACTTTGAAAAATTGCTCTCGTATATTAAGTATCTCTGTATATGTAGTTTCAATTAAATTGAACTACATATGTTTTCCTACAAAGTTTGAAATATTTATTATACCCAATCTTTTGCAAAATTTTATGATGCTTTTTTTTTTGTTAATACGACCTTAATGTTTCTTGATATCAGTAAATAATATAGATAGCGGTATATTTAAGGTTAATGTGAGGGAAAGATAAAATCTTCTTATCTCAGGAATCCGTTGATGACGTTTGATTTTTCACCTCCAAAAATGACCTTGATCTTCATTGTAGATACTGAATTGATACTCCTTATCTATATACATGTACATGTACCATCAGATAGTGAGGTCTCTGTTTAAAAAGGCAATAGAAGTGCAATTCAAAGTGACCAAAATGTAGGAATGTCTATTTTGTTGTTAATTTTGTAAATTTATTTATTATTTATTACTTTTTTTTTGGGGGGGGGTGTAATATTTGGTAGATAAAATTTTGTCTCAAGCAATTTTTTCTTAATAAATATCGTTGATAATTAACATTACAGAGATAAATATCTGTTTGACTAGTGTATTTATTAGAAATTATTTAAATCATATTTCATGGGTGTTTTGTACTTCTTTAAAGAGTATGCAGATTTAAGAAGATAAAGCATATCGACTCGACTTTAAACGAAGTTTTGGAATTTTCATCAATGTTTAACTTTGGAAAATGGTCACACATGGGCATTTATACTATCAAAAAGTCTTGCAGGATTTTCAACGATTTATGAGTTCTTATGTTCAAATCTGTAAATGGGCCAACAATAAAACTGTAGAACAAAACATGTCAGAGAAACCCTGCAATATTTCAAGTTTTTGCAATATAGAACTCGCTATTTTTACAAAAATTTATGAAATCAATAATATGGGGAGACAAAGAAATGTGGAATTTTCCTTTAGTTTTGATTGGCATAGAGGCGGACAGGAAAGATGAATCATATGGAGATAACGAACAGTATTCATGATCAAAAGTCCATAAACAATATATAATAGGAGCAAAGTAAACACAGACCTTTACAACATCAGAGGTGGGATCAGGTGCCACGGAGGAGTAAGCATCCCCTGCAGACCGGTCACACCCGCCGTGTGCTCCTTGTCATGATCGGGAAATAACGTAAAAAATCCGTCGATTCAGGGTATCAATACTGGACTAACAATTAGTATGATAAACGTCAGTCAGTATATGACTCAATGAAAAATTGTATTTGCTGACATGGTCATTGTATAGACCATAGAACTTACGAAATGGTGATTTTAGACGAGACCTCTGAAATTCTTGTTTCATCAACATGTTTCTCAATAATTTACCTCGCTTTAGAAATTGTTCATTCGTACAGCATGTTCTTGCGAATGGAATCAACTAAGATATATTTAAACTCCATATGCAGCTGACGAAGGTATTTTGCTGCATATTTAAGGGAAGTTGACTATAGAAAAGTTAACGTCATCATGTTTATCAAAGAGATTGGTTGTTACTTGTAGATTACCATTAATGTCTTTTTCAAGTATATATCCAAATATGACACAGATGTCTTACTATGTGGTGTCCTTTATATGAAGCTCACCACGATACGTCGTATCGACATAAGAGTGGATATTATCATTGTTAATTGACACGTCGTTGATATGTCTAAATATCTTGTTGAAATCCACAGCAAGTGTTTTTTTTTCTTTTCACAAATAAGATTTTGCGCAAATTCTGCTTCATATGAGTACAAAAATGGTGTGCTAATAACAGGACACAATTGGAACCCAAGATTTAATTTCAACAGCCAGGAAGCCCGTCAAACAGAGGAAGTTTAATTGAAAAAAAAATATTTTGCAAGTTTGCCCTTTCAGCTTAGGGGTAAACAGATACATTTATATATACACTGTAAATCCAGGGAATAAACATGCATGTATACTTATATTTAAGTAAAATCATAAAAAAAACAATTTCCTGACGTACCTGACGTCAAAAGGAGTTTTGTACTAGACTGCACCCATTTGAACTCTTATTTCTTTCTCCCGAGTAAAAAAAATGTTAACAAATTTAATTCTATGATCTGTTATATATGTTTTTACAAGTGTAAATAAATCAAGAAAAAAAATCAAAATAAAACTTTTAGCAGGCCACCCCAAGGGATTCTGAGAATGCAATTGGTAAATAGTTATTTTTTATGTAAAAAATATATTCGTCTCTCTTTAAATGCATTCAAAAAGTCTGTTTCAACACACTATTTAAGTTTAGTTGTTTTCCTGTTGTACCTATATGTTAATGCTTCAAAGTATGTAATTGTTTAACTAAGTTTCATTACTATAAATTTTAACATGCTTGTTTTTTTTTTAAATTTACATTAAAAATTCTAAAATTAAGGTATCCAATTCAAATTAGCCTTATATTCAATAAATCTAAATGCATCACAGATATATATTATCTGAATACTCGATATCTGTTAACTTTATTTTCATTTTTTAGTATGAATATGACGATTATGTAAAAGAGGATTCTGTCTTAATTTTTGAACTCGATATTTCCTTAAAGTTACGGTAGTTCACGTTAGTTCAGTCGGTAGAGCGCTCGCTCCGTGATCGGGAGGTCATGAGTTCATATCTCGGCCGCGACTGACGTAGTCGATAAAATGGGTAGCAACTGTACCTTCGCCATACGTTCGGCACTTTGAAGTGGAAGTTGCGGATCCTTCGGATGAGAATTTAAAAACCGAGGCCCGTGTCAGCGGCAGGCGTTGGCACGATAAAGATCCCTCACTGCTCAATGGCCCTGAGTGCCGAGTAAAGGTCAAAATTTGAAGCCCTTTATAGGCATACGGTGACGACTCCATATATGCGAAACATTCTCGAGGGGGACTTTAAACAATATACAGTCAAACAATCCTTGAAAAATTATCCCCCTTTGTTTTGACCAAGAAAAATAATTTGTGAAAAACATATATCGGGTAAATCAGCTTTCAATCGTTTTCCTATTCTTTATAATTATAAAAATTTGACACCATAACATTTTTGATGTTCTTAGTATTTATTTTTTTTATTTTCAAAAGTTTGTTTGACATGTCCATATTGCCCTCAATGCGTATTACGTCGATAAATGAATGTTCACATAATGATATTTTTGAAAATTTTTCCTGGTAAATCTTTTTGTACAATAAATTGCTTTGAATTAGTTTCAGAGTATTTCAGAATGATTAATTTCAGAGTATTTAATAACAGAATTGTATCTAAGTTTAGAAAATTTTGTCCTTATATAAGTCGGATACCTAAAAAGTAAATATCCTCGGTTTTTGTAATAAAGAAATGCATCTCCGGAATTTAACGTGTAACTCTTGAGAGACGACATACAGATTAAAACTTGTTGCTTCGGACTTTAAAGTTGACAAGAAGCATTCAAATGTTGGAATATATGCAGTATATTCGATTTTGTAATAAGGAAGCAATTTTAAATTCTAAATGTTTTATGCATTTGAACCTTAAAATTTTTCGAAATGGGATACATGCAAAGGGCTCCCAATTTATGCTATTTCTAGAATATCAATAGCTTGATTAAATTTCATTTTGACACAAAGTTTATCCATGTGGTGCAGTAACTTTGCCCCATTGATTTTGACTTGAAAATCTCAATGGACAGATGTTACATGTGTGTCTTTTAACGTACATATATATATATACGAAAAGAGGAGAAAATTTCAAATATTACTTCTTCTTCTTGACAAGGTAAGAGATCTGGTCCTTTTTTTCCCTTAATTTTCTTCATTCCCCTGTTTAATCTTAATTTTTGTAGGTTGATTAATCTATTTAAACAGTGCATAGTTGCGTTTTAGCTAATGATTTCTTGCAAATATATTTTAGGATGAGGCCGATTTTATGCATGGTAATATTCGTGGTGCTACTCTGCATGTTCGAACGTGGCCTGGGGAATGACGTGAAAAGAGCAAAAGATCTAACTAGATTGAAAATGGCTCTGGAAAGAGAAAGAGGAGCTAAACAAGATTCTGGATGGTGGAGACACAAAAGGGACTTAGATGATTCCGAAAGAGGAGCTAAACAAGATTCTGGATGGTGGAGACACAAAAGGGACTTAGATGATTCCGAAAGAGGAGCTAAACAAGATTCTGGATGGTGGAGACACAAAAGGGACTTGGAGGAATCCGAAAGAGGAGCTAAACAAGATTCTGGATGGTGGAGACACAAAAGGGACTTAGATGATTCCGAAAGAGGAGCTAAACAAGATTCTGGATGGTGGAGACACAAAAGGGACTTAGATGATTCCGAAAGAGGAGCTAAACAAGATTCTGGATGGTGGAGACACAAAAGGGACTTAGATGATTCCGAAAGAGGAGCTAAACAAGATTCTGGATGGTGGAGACACAAAAGGGACTTAGAGGATTCCGAAAGAGGAGCTAAACAAGATTCTGGATGGTGGAGACACAAAAGGGACTTAGAGGAATCCAAAAGAGGGGCTAAACAAGATTCTGGATGGTGGGGGGGACACAAAAGGGATCTTGAGGAAATAGAAAGAGGGGCTTAACAGGAATCTGGACGATGGAAAAGCGAAAAGGAGACATATAGTACGTATAGAATAAGATTATTTAAAATTTACATCAAAATATATCAAGTGTTTTGATATATATATTATAATTATTTTTAAAAATATAAAAAAAGGACTACTTATATTTTTATCACTATATGATATTAAAATATTATTGTGGTTTAACTATAATTCATTTGTTTTACAGATGGGAGGGGAAAAATTTATGGATCATTGAGACAATCCTGATTTTTTGTCTTCATTTTTTAAATAAATCTTGTTCTGCAGAAGAATTTGATTTGGTTTATAACTCCAATTAACATTTCACATTTTTTATTTGTTTTATTACTTATATTTATGTTTGTGCTTCATAACTAATTCATGAAGAAAAACAAGCTCTGACTAGCCGTGACAAATCGCATCCCTTACGAAAAAATACTCTTTTGAAATTCAGTAGGAGTATTCAGTGAACGGTTTGTTGAGGATTAACTGACTGTCAATTGACCATAAGTTGAATATTTGGCATGTAAATGAGAGAGCGTTCATTTCATTTACATAGAGTAAACCAGAGTTAAATACTCCTATTTATTCAACAGGTTTACCATTAGTTTAGTACACCTCTTTTTTCCGTGAAGTTGACAATAAGTTGAAAACTCCTCTTTTTTCAACTTTTGTCAACTCTGTTAGATGTCACAAAGTCGGATTGTTTAACTATGGTCAACTCTTTATTTTTCTTGCATTAAATTTTCAAAGAATAAATATTCAACTAGTTGTCAACTCTGTGAAAAGCAGTCATTGACTATCAATTGTCCATTTTATGCGAAATAGTCAACAGCTTTTTAGAACATAATTCAATCTTAGTGATTAAATTTTTATTCTTACAATTACAGTTCTTTAAAAAAAATTAAAGCAGTTAACCTTTTTGTTACTGTGTTCCCTGATGATATATGGTTAATATTTATTTAGTTTTTCACAATGAATAATCTTATCTTTATAGCTTTTTTAGACGCTTTTAGACGGCCCCTTTAGATACCCCTTGGTCACGTAACTAGCATAGGTTGGTTTTGCAAATAAAGTATAAAATATGACAGAGGAAACATTACTTGATATAACTAAAGGAAATGATTTGAAGTTCGAATTCATCGTTGGCCAGAAAACAGCCTAATGGAAAACCTACCTTTTCTATTGAAGTTGCCACGCCAGTTCATTCCACATTGTCACTTTCATAAAATTTAGCGTTACTTAATTCAATTCATTTGATAGTTAGTTTCTAATTTAATTTTAATTTGATGCAGTTATCCAAAAAATCAAATCATAAAACTAATGTTTATTAATGAATAAAGGTCAGACTTCACTTCATTAAAGTAACAAATTTAAAGTGGAATGATGTTGTGCGACACCTTAAATATACGAGGGTTGTTCGAAAAAGTTCGTGGACTACTGTCATTTTTTTTCATTTGACGTCGTATGTTACCCTAATTTGTAAGAAATATTTTAAAAATCAATCCAAATGAATTGTTTAATTTTTTTTAATTATCACGATTTATTCAAAACTTATCTAGATTTTAAAAATGCAAAAATCGGATCGCGGAGTGGGTCAAAATTTAGTAAGTTTCAAACAATACACTGAATAAAATCTGTAGTCATATTCTCAGTAAAATGGAGCAAAGACGAAAAACAACATAGAAATTCAAATTGAGAATTGTTACATCGATTCGCATTCTAAATTATGGCTTTATATTTTGCTCCGTTGAAAAGAAATCAACTTGAGAAGATAGGTTGTCCTCATCGAAAACGAGAAAAACGATGACGTTTTAGAACGTCACGGAGCAGCAGATAACGATGCAATTTTGTGTTTTACTCAGGAGAAATTCTGAATAATCTCTAAAAATGTCGGGGAAATAAAAAAAAAATATCTCACAAGCGAGTTGTTCATGAGTGTACAAATAGTAGAGGCAGTATTTGAATGACAGATACCCTGTACCGGATGAGGACAATGTTATGTGAAGAAACGGGTTTACCTTAAAAATCTGAAAAAAAAAGTTCGAACGTCAAGGAAAGACATAGGCACTTCAGTGTTGCTTATCCTGTGAAAGCAGTGTTATAGTAACAAAAGAAATTTAAATCTTAACAAAGAAAGAGACCAATCTTAAAAAATAAATATCAAGTACGGTATTAGAAAAAGGATTTAATGATTACGCATTAGAGTAGAGTGTGCGAAATGTATAAGGAAAATTTGGCGTTACATTGCCGTTAAGTGTGCTCCGCAGGTACAAACCATGTTGATTTTAAAATGAAGTAAATTCATTTCTGTTAAATCGAATGGGATGAAACTTCTCACATCATTAAAACAAATATTTTTACATATTATTTTGTGCTTATTTCAAATTTCTAGTGACTAATATACCGAGAATTGACATCGTCCACCAACTTTTCGAACATCTCTCGTACATGTAAGTGTTGATTTATCTTTTACTAAGCATCAGAACTTGGAGTAAAAATTAAAAATATTTCAATGAATCCTTAGTGAAAGAATCTAAGTCACGGTACGCACTGGAACCTTAAAGATATATGATTGTTACAGCCGTAAGCATCATGCATAGATCGAGCATTGTGACATTTCACCTAGAGTATATTGACTTTATTAAAAATAATCATTAACGAAGTCTTCAACTAATGTAAAAAAAAATGGTCTTTTAAGACGGCACACATGCAAACAAGTGTGGCTTTTTGTCAGTGTTCTATCAAACCACTACTGTTGTAACAAACGGAGAAATAAGTTTTCCCCAGGATATTGATTTGTTTCAGTACCTGTCTATTGCTCTTTTTTCTAAATCTTTTATATATTCTGTGATTTTTAAAAAAATGAATTTAATATTTGAACTTCATGAATCTTTAAAAATTAAATTCATTGCTTATATATACATTGTTTGATGTGTTACTACAAATTACGCCATTCAACTGTCATCTTTAAAGCAAAACAGTTTGCGTTATACTAGTAGTTTGCACGTCAAGTACGGTATAATGAAGAAAAAATGGAGGTGTTGATGCTGCCTAAAACAATTCTGATGAAATAAGTCATTTTTTAATTTCTAGAAAGGTAAGATTTCGATCAAAATAGACTTTCACGCCCTTGTTCGCTTGATCTCTATCTAAAAGTTTGTTTTAAAAGACATTAAGTATATGTTAAAAGACAAAAGAGATATAAAAAGAGCTAAATTTCTCATTTTTGGAATGACCTTGACCTTTGACCCAACTTCGTGTGGGGAACATAAAAAGCGCCCACTTCATTCTATATTTTCCAGGGTAGCCAGTTATGGTATGTCACATCGTTGCACTTTATTATTTTGTTTCTGAAAAAAAGACAAACATATAACATATTGAGGAAAACTGGTATGTATAGAAAAGTGGTATCTCACCTTGTATCAGAACAATGTCTTTTAAAACAAACTTTTAGATAGAAATTCATATGTTTAAATATCCCTGCCATCTTATTTTTCTTTGATTATTCTTTATTAAGTAAAGTTACGCCATTTTGAGAGAATGAAACAATGTACGATTTACTGATTGTCGTAATTAATTAGCATAATTAATTCGTTCAATTATGTAAATCGCACTTCACCCGAGTATACCCGATAGACCGGACGCATTTCATAGCGGTCCGGATTTCTTTCTTTAATATTGTTCTTAAAAATTTCGAATTCAACATGTAATTAAGTATGTAAATATCTAGTGTTTAGTAGCTTAGTAGTAGTGCTAGTTGTTTTTGTTTCTATTTTTCCTTTGTTCTTATGACTTTTTAACTTATTTTCTTTGTCCTGAGGAAGGGACAGGGCGTCCCGAAAATTTGACAATTTTTATTGTTAGTGTCGTTGGTCATTTTTAGTGCTTTATATAAATTTCCATCCGTGACCTTGTATCTACTTGGTAGATCCGACATTTAGGATATACTGTGTTGTTGGTTTTTTAGTGCTTTATATATATATATATATATATATATATATATATATATATATATATATATATATATATATATATATATATATATATATATATATATATATATATAAGGTTTAATTAAACTTAAATTCATTTCAATGCATTATACCTTATTTTCCGTGAAGCTAAAAACAGTAGATGTTAGGACTTTTTTGAGAGATTTCCAAGATGTAAGTGAGTTTTTCAAAGTTTCATTTTCTAGTTTTTCAATTTTTCTTTGTATCGCAGAATGAAGCGCAATCCACAGTGAGTCCTGGCTGGATATTTTTGATAAGTCTCTATCAATTTTCAACGATAGTCCCTGTAGCCATTCCTGTGCTTCCTTGTCTACTTCTGGTCCTTTTTTGGGTTCATGATGAAAAAGAACTTGTAACCCATACGTTTTTTCTAGGGAGATAAATGCTACACTATCTGAAATGGATATGAAAATAGTCAGAAGATAGAAGGTATTCGCTTTTAGGAAGATATATTTTATTATTTATTAGGACTATCAGTTACATGTATCATTTTAGTTTTATAACGGTTTGTATGTCTGCATTTAAATCCAGCGATTGAATAATCGGTCGGTATTTACAAAAATACTCAATATATAAATATTTTTTCCCTCTTTAATTTTTTTTTTATTTTAGTAAAATATACCAAGTTAATTTGAGTAGATTAAAAAGAAGAGTAAATATTTAATGCATTTAAATGATAAAAAGATTCACCATGTATGAAAAAAGTAATGGGGATAATGGTCACTATTGAAATAATTATATCGTTAATAGTTTAAAGTGCATTTCAAAACATCTACTGAAAAAAAATTAGGTTTACTACTGAGATAGTTATTTCATCAGGGCCATACGATTGATTGATTGATTGATTGATTGATTTTATATTGTTTAACGTCCCTCTCGAGAATTTTACACTCATATGGAGACGTCACCGTATGCCGGTGAAGGGCTTCAAATTTTGACCTTTACTCGGCACTCAGGGCCATTGAGCAGTAAGGAATCTTTACCGTGCCAACGCCTGCCTCTGACAGGGGGCCTCGGTTTTTAAGGTCTCATCCGAAGGACCCGCCACTTTCACTTCAAAGTGCCGAGCGCATGGCGAAGGAACAGTCGCTACCTATTTTAACGACTAGGTCAGTCGCGGCCGAGATACGAACTCACGACCTCCCGATCAGGGAGCGAGCGCTCTACCGACTGAGCTACCGTGAACGGTCAGGGCGAAAATGACTTGTTGACCGTCAGCTGGCAGT